AGTACTTTAGGTAATATTTTTGCGGTTACAACAACAACAACAACAACTGCCTCCATCACGACATCAAGACCGTGCTTAATGCCAGAAGGGGTAAAGATGGCAATTTTAGCAAAATATTCGGTAAATTTAACCTCCAGGACGAGCCGGGCCCGAAATATAATGGCATGTAGTACCGGACCACGACATAAGGTTCAAGTTACTCTGCTATCACCGCATCGATTGACTCGAAACCACATCGATCAAGAGACGGTAGACACGTCTCGCGTGAAATGTAGAGATGTGTATTTTCTGGGGTCTAAAATTCTATTGGGACTCTTGTCACCGAAAATGCCAACAAGCTTCTGTGCCACAGATAATGTTCGCCAACAAACACAAGGAAGGTTCCATGCCGCTTGATGTCTGCTTTCTCAGACAACTCATCCACAACTCGATGTAAGGGAGTTTCCTGGACGGCATTTCGAACACTCTAAGTGCAATTGTCAAAGGGTCCACTCGTCTTCATCAAAATCATTAAAGGGATGATACGGTGAGGATTGTCATAGGGCAAAAGAGGTACCAAAAATAGAAAAGCGAAACATTCGCAGACAGAAAAATAGAGAGGCTGAGATGCGTGTATATAAAGAGCTGGGGAAAGACACGAAAATTCCTTGAGAAAAGGATTCAAAATCGGAGATTCATATAAAACCCAGGGTGGTTATCTACCGAGCGATGTACTGAGTGAGCGAATACTGAGCTTGTGTTAGGAACAACACGAGCCGGAGGAAGAGACAGATTTCGGCTGACTGTGACGAAGTTCGAATGGCGATTGTACTCTTGAAGAATAGCTAAACGGCCGGAGCCCTTGGCTAAACGAATAATTGGCGCTTTGTAACCTCTGAAGCGATTTTCCGCCGAGCTCCTCCTCCAACTTCTAGTTTTGCGTCTTGATGTTTTTCCAACAAATGAAGGGACCTAAAGTTTATGCTAAGCCGTCTCCGAACGACTGACCGGCTAACGCAGCGTTTAACGAATACGCCAAATTTTGTAGCAGACCCGTGATAAAAGGATGGACAAACACCACTTCGCTGTCGTATTTAAACCAGCCTTCGGCAGCATGAGAAAGAGCACTAAGACGAGTCCTGCGATCCGAACGAGGGTTCAGGCAGGAATCCTCATCGTATGATCTCTTTAACTTAATGCAGAAAATGATTTGGATATTATTAATCCCAATCACTGCGTCATTAGTTCATATTTCCTGTCATCAAATAAACAGTCAGCGCTTTGTCGCCTTAGCTGCCACGTCAGTTGAAGCTTTGAAGCCTTAAATAATTTCTTATCTCTAACAATCATCAATAATACTAACAACAACGAACAGAAACCACAATCCAAAATTCGATCATCATTTGATCTTCTTGCTACATGGTGCAGCATGCTTAAACGATGACGACCTGTCGAGGAGTTTCCTATAAAAACGTACTGCGGAAGATTAATGAACGCAGACGATGAAATGATGAGCTGTACGAGATATACTCGCACCGAGGCATTGACATAGTTCAGTGAATTAAGGACAGCGGCTAGGCTGGGAATCCAAGCAACACTCATAGCAAGCGTAGAGCTCAAACCGTCTCGTGCGAGCCAAGTACAATGAACTTACAAAATGCAGGTTTCAAAATACTGTAGTAGACTCTGAACTATGCAGACTGGGTACAAGAAGCACCCGCATGACACTCACCACCTCTTTGCACCCCAACTAAAACCCACTCACCAAACACCTGCCCCCCTCTGGTTGGAACCCATCGAAACAGCACATTTCTGAACCTCCTCTTAGTTGACCTGCTGTTTGATGACCTCCTCTTTGATGATCCCCTGCATTGGAGGGGATGACATAGATCATATTTGCTTTCTCCCAGGCGGGTTGAGTTACCGCAGCGCTGACTAGGTCATGTTCTGCGGTTGGTTGTAAACATTTCAGCTTTGAAAGTATTCAATGCACGACTCGCCTGCGGTTGCAGTGGAAGAGGAAGACCTCCACTCCGTTAGAATGAATTACAAAAAGGAACTGGGCGCTCGCTTGGTATCTCTAAATGACTCCGAACGACGCATAAAGCTTTTCTTATGCCAATCAAAAAGAAGTCTAGATATATTTAATTAATAACCTCTTGTTCATATATATGTATTTAAGTACAATGTAGATAACTAAGAAAAATATTTTTTGTTACGCTATCCAAAACCCAACAACTGAGCTTAACTATTTAGCTATTGGAGCATAAAATTGGCAATAGAAAAAATAACTATCTTATAAACACATACATACATACATACATACGTATATGTTTGTAAATAACATTCCGATAGAATGTGCTAAATGTACATACACGTATGTACCTATGTATGTATGTATGTATGTATGTGTACATCTCATTGTTTGCGCTTAATCTATAGACATTTGTAGCAAATAGTTTTCGGCTGCCCCAAAAGAAGCAGACCGCTTAGGCACAGGTTTGATTAATCTAAGTCGCCGAGGTCATCTAATGGTAGGTCCAGGAAACGAGCTGCTTCGACGAGGTTGGACCAAAGGGAGAGGGTGGTTAGAAAAGTTGGTTTGAGAGGGCATGTGATGAGGTGGTTAGCGTCGTGCAGGGCATACGTTGGATATGCTGGGGTCTAGTCTGGATAAGCAGGAGTTTAACCTGCTACAGTATCCAGACCTGAGTTGTGCCAAGGTCAGGCGCGTCTCTCTAGGCAGCTCGAGCTCGTTGTCTGCTATGAGTGGTGGTTTTTCTCTGAGCACGTCATTCACTGGAAGCGAGTCCTTGAAGATTTTAACTGACACCTGGTGAATGGCGTTCAGTGCTTGTCTGTACGCCGTCCTGTCCAGCGGTTATTGCACATGTTGCTGGATTGTGTCCTTTAAATCTAGTACTCCCTTTCCGATTTGCCTAGGTGGAGGTTTTGCTTCTATTAGGTGCCTATTGGGGTGCTCCCGGCGGTAGTATTCCAATAGGAACTGCTTGCTCCGCAAAGCATTATGCTCCTTAGCTCGTAGCATCGATGCGACGCTGTGCAAGTGATGCTCTGACGACATCAGGAGGTTTTCTGTCGCAGTCCTGAGGGCGGTGTCCTGGCAAACCAGTAGCTTCTTCATCTGTGTTTCGTTCGTCACCGGCGCCCAGATCGGTGCAGCATAGTTTACGACCGGCCGACTAATTTCTTTATAAGTTGGCAGCAAAGTTTCTTTGTCTTTGCCCCAGGTGCTGCCGGCTAGCAGCGAGTATTTTGTTGCGGGTTTGGAGGTTTGCGGCAATTGCAGTCGTATGCGAAGTGTAGGACTGCAGGCTGTCTAGTGTCACTCCCAATATCTTTGGGTTATTTACAGTCGGAATTTTTGTGTCATCGACCTTCACATCTAGTTTCAGCCTGTACTCTCACTCGGTCGGCCCAGTGAAGTTGATGATGACGATATCAAGGCTTTAATCGAAACGGATCGTCACTGAGATTGGAGAGGAGTTAAGTATACCAAAATGAACCGTTATAATCATACCATATGTTTGTTTAAAATAACGTCATTCAAAAACGATCATGGTCCAAGCATGTTGAAGCGCCACAAACCGCTTCAAAGGCTGATATCCACCAAAAGAAGGTTATGCTGTCAGTTTGGTGGGATTGGAGGGGTGTAGTATATTTTGAGCTGCTTCCAAGGAACCAAACGATTAATGCAAATTTCCACTGTGAACAATTGAATAAATTGAATACATCCATCAACGAGGAGCGGTCAATCGTAAAGTTGTCATATTCCACCAGGACAATGCTAGACCGCACACATCTTTGGTCACTCGCCAAAAACTGTTAGAGCCTGGCTGGGAACTTTTGATGTATCCACCACATAGCCCTGACCTTGCACCCTCAGACTACCATTTGTTTCGATCTTTGCAGAACTCATTAAACTTTCGAAAATGACGAGGCTATAAAATCGCACTTTGTTCACTATAAAGATGTTGCCGGGAAGATGGTGAAATGTCATACAAAAAAAAATAGAAATTACTTGAAATTCATTATAGAATTAAAAAAAAGAATGTATTTACTTTTACTTTAAAAAAAAATCGCCGATTTCTTTTGGGGCAACCCGAGAGTTCCAAACGAAATATTTGTGGCAAAATATTCGAAAAAAAAAATATCCAAAACACTCGCTCATTCACACAAACACATACACACTTGTGCTATACTTCCACCCCTCCCCCGCCGTTTTTATTCTACATTGTCCGTTGTCATTTTGACGCTACTTAAGCGCATTGTCCTTTTTATAAATGCGAAAATTATCTACTCGTCCATTCATTTGTCGATTTTGTCAGCTTACGAGCGGCTATGTACATGCTTACATACATATACATGTATACTTCTGTACATTTGTTCAATGCCCAACGGTAACTGCAGACAAGAAGGATTTGCTGTTGTTGTTTGTTATTAGCAGCCGCTGCTTATTTGCCCCTCCACCCGCGCTCGCATCAACATTTTGCTCATTTATTTGATTTTCAGCTATTGTTCTGACAGTTAACTACACATACATACATACATACATACATATATTTACATACATACATAGAACTGAATGTGGCTGGCGTCCACGCTACTACTACTACATATTTCTGCTAATTTATCGGGATAATTGCCAAATGACCAAATGGGGAGTTTTATTACACCAGCTGCAGCTGAAAATGATGACCAAAGCACAAACGCCACCAATGTAGTGAAATAAAACTTCCGACCATCGAATAATCGGCACAAAAATTCGAAATTTCTGCAAATACAATACATATGTGTGTATATATATCTCTGTGTGTGTGTGCGCTTCTAAGTAGAGGGTGTGGAGGTTAAATGAATGATCAGATGAAAATATGTTTGGCTGAGTGTATGGTGTGTGTGGCGACTACATACATACATATATACCTACATATGTGTTGCTTGCTTGCCTGTCTGCCTGCTTGCCTGCCTGCCTAATGCTGTACGCTATTCCACAACTTATTTGCGCTTCAGCTCATGTGGCTAATTTTTCCTTTTTAATTGTAATTCATAAATTACATTATATAGTATTTGCTATTGTAATACAGTAATGTACATTTATATTTGTATGTGTAGCTGTGAGCATATACAAGCATATAAACTTACATATGATACATATTAATATGTATGAAGTGCGGTGAGGGTGGTTTCGGCCTCTGTGAGTCATATGAATTTGACATTTGTGGTCAGTTGGAGTGTGGAGATTAATGCATACACCAGTGGACATTATATGTTTGTATATATTTTTGCAAGTAATTATATATTTATGCATATTCTTTATATATATATTTTTGTATAATTGTAAGACTTTTTGACTTTATATTGGGTATACATATATGCCAATTTCTTGCACCTCAACTTGCCGAAGGAGCTCAGTGGAAAATCGTCACATCTCATCACTCTAACCCTCCGCGCTAACAACCACCTGCGACTCCATCACAGTGGACGTTTGCTCCTGCTTAAGCAATACTTCTGGTATTCTGCTTGGTAACAAATGCTTCAGTGGCTCTAAAATCTTTTGTTGTTGTAAATATGTAATCTGCTCCTGCTCGAGCGTGAGCAAATTAATGCCCAAATGATTGGTGAGCGTTTGTTGTGGAAATATAGCGTGTATGCAACGTTGCACATATGGTATCAGATCATAAGCCAGGCAAGAGCATAATTTCACAAAGGTTTCGCGCTCAGCACTGGTGAAAGCCTGTTGTTCTTGCCGATAGAATGCCAAAACTTTGGTAGCCACAAATTCCAAAGAAGTTTGTAACACACGCGTTACATCATTCGCCAAAGCGATGGGCGCGCAGAGCCGTAAATCGTTGAAGGCATTTAAGTAGCCATTGCAGAGTGAGGCTAGCGGATGGAAGTCCAGTAGGGTTTCTGGTGGTGCGTAAGAGTCTTGCGTTGTTGTGTCCCCAGCAGTTGTTGCATCCACTTTATGACCGCGTGCGTGTAGCGTCACTTTGTTGATGAGCGTATAACGTTCCAGCTCCTGTCCGAAGCTTTGATTAACCGTAGAAATTGCGCTATCGAAATTTCTTCTTATGACACGCAAGAAAATTGGTACCATAAGTGCACGAAAATCAGCGCCAACGCGACTAAAAGACAAACCAAAGTACATGCACTGGCCGAGTACGGTGTCAAAAGAGCTCACGCCGCGTGACAGGTCAGACTCGAGCGTTTGCAGAAAGTCATCGATCTAAATGAAAGAAATGTGCAACTGAATTTAAGCTTTTAATTCAAAAAACATGGTAAAAGCACACCTTCTTATGCAACCAAGCATGGAATAGACGCTCCCCTTCACAGCTTACACCTTGCATTGGTTTGGTGGCCGACACAACACTTGGCTCTTCATCGGGAAAAATTGCGCGATATTGTGTTATGATGTTAAATAAATTAATACGCGTCACCTCAATGGTTTTCGTCAAATGTTGCTGAGCTGTAATGTATTGAGCATTAATAAAATGTGAAAACTTGCTTGCTAACTTCAACACACCATCATCTTTGGCTATAGCTTTGAGAGTGTTTATTAGCCATGTATCGCGCGCTTGCAGAAACTTCAATTTCAATTCATTATTACTGAATGCCTGCATACGCCTGAGATAACCTACAATTTGCAAGCATTTGGGCAGTTGTAAGTCTGTACGCAGCTGTGCCACCAACTGCACCAACATAGTATGCCACAATGCTTCTACGGAATGTACAATACTCTAAGGCGGAAGTAAAAAAAAAAATAATTTTTATAATTATTTTTTTCCATATCATTCGTTAAAACTTTTCACCTACCTTTATTATTGCTATATCACTATGATTATGTCCCAGTTTTTGCACATAACTCGCCAACTCGAGCGCTTCTTCATAACGTCCCTCGCGTATGCAACGCTCCATCAATTGCGGCAATTCTAGTATTTCCAATAGTTGTGCATTTTTCTTCAAAGTTATCGTATTAATACGTCTATCTTCATTGATATCTTCCGCTTTGCTGAGAAAACTTTCACATTCTGTCGTGAAAATTGGCAATTTTTCCAATAATGTGCCCACTTGCTCTTCCGTATTCTGGAATTCCGTGTATATGGAACGTGAATTTTCTGCTGTGTGTATGAATGTTTTATAATTGGAAATCGCCAATTCTTGTGTTTGCTCAACGATACGTTTGCTTTCATCAGCCAAGCGGGTTTGTTCCTTCTTCAATTGATCCACTTTGTATGTGCCTAAATTGGCCAAGTACGTGTAGAGCTCTGGATTGTCGTGTAAATTCTCTGGCGATAGAAAACAAATATTTTTAAAATAACTCTCGTTACATTTTAAAATTTACAAACCTGGAAGGCCATCAGGAAAAATCAGCTTAAGCACACGCTCGTTTTCTATATCCATTTTATTTGAATTGAAAGAAGAAAATTTGATGAAAACTAATTCCTTCTATTTGTTTATTAAACGCGTCGACAAAATTTAAACAGCTGAGTTGGCGTCACAGCTGATTCGCTCAACTACAGAGCGTAAACAGAGAACGTAGATTTATCATAGTTCCCTTAATCTCAACCAGCTGAGATAGAAACCTCACTAGGGGTTCGTGTACTAGCTAAATATTTATTTGAAAAATTAGTGAAGCGAAAATTCGCTGGTTTCAACATGACAAGTGATTTTTCACCACAGCTCGATGGGGAATTAGTCGATTGGTAGTTATTATAAGTCGGAGAAACTGGTCGAAGACTCGCCGAAACTCGTCTAGGAACGATTGATAGCAGAAAGGAATGGCCAGGCGCAAAAATCTCCAAAACCCAATTTGAAAAACACTTTTGCGGTTGTTAAAACACAACAATCGAACACTAATAGCCTTACGAACTCAAAAGATTCAGTCAATCAAACGGAGCTCCAGTGCTTCAACCAAAGCAAATGGGCCACAATGATGAAAGGAGACTGGAACATTTGTTGAGTTTAAGTGCGAAAAGATATTCTTCCAAAGTCCGCCCTCAACCAACCAACCAACCAACGAACTCCTTCTAAACCGAAGGCGATAAGTAGAGCTAATTTCCATGAATTGAATAACCTTTCCATCACGACAACTCTAAAGGACACAATTAAACAGAATTAATTAGCAATTCATCTGTCAATTGAGATTCAAACAAAACGTTACACGTGCCGACAAAGCACCGTCGGCAAGCCCTTCAACACCGATAAACATTTGTCGGATCATAAATTTCCTCTTGTTGCCACAACGTCTACGCGGTGCCTACTAAAACGAGCCGAAACGACAACAACAAAGAATGAAGAAAGCGTGAGAGCGTTGTGAATACTTAGTGGCTCTTTGAAACCCAAGACGTATCACGCATGCAGAGCCAACTGCGGACGAGGGGAGCTATAGTTTTGCTAAACTTAATGAGTCATTTCTGCAAAGCCGTTACTTTTTGCATGCTCACGCAGCAGCTACTTTGCGTGTGCGTTAGGCTGTTGATAGTGATTGCTTTTGCTTTTCACTTGTTGTCGCCTGAGCTCAGGGGCTCCCTCTTTTTACTTTAAAGATACGCTACAACTTAGCCACCGACGAACTGAGTTTATGTGCAAGTACTCGACAACTCCAACTCATCTGCGACTCTTCAGCGACTGGTGAAAGTAGAACATTTGTTTGCTTAATGTTGCAGCTCAAATGCTTTGCTGGCTAGCACACTTCTTTCCACTTTATTAATTAGTTATTTTTAAAGCCGGCCGTAGTAGTCGGGTAAGTGTGTGTCTTACGAGTCGAAGGTGGTGGGTTGAGATTCCGATCAGACTAAAATCTAAAAACCGTCTACCCTTTCAAGAGCTTGGCCTCATTGTAATAATATATGTGGTGGTTGGTAAGAATCACTTCGCGAACCGGAAGCCGGTAAGCTAGCTACAACCGGAACAGCCTTAAAATTCTTCACACGAAGTGAGCATACAAATCATTTCACGTCAAACTACCTGCAAAGAGAGGCCTTCACCAGTAAGGTCTGTACCAAATTACGGGAGGAAACTACAAGCACTGTGGACATGTAGGGATTTAGGAGAAGAGAAACTCACGGTAAGAGGATTGGTTCTCTCATGATTTCTGTCGCAGCTTCAGATATATAAACGAGGATCAGTCGATAGACTGCCACAGGTCAAGCTTTGACTTTACACTCAAATACGGTTGGTTCACGGCTTGGATAAGTAGCGAAGAGGAAACCACGCAGAATATAAAGCACGGCACGACAGCAAATCCTTGTTTTCTCAACCAATACTGAGAGACGGTCTCGAAGTAATTTTTGACGTCTCCTTTTGGCTTAAAAGGTATTTGGATCATATGGACTTTCGCACTTTGGTATTTCGAGACGATGCTCCAGTCAAACGAAATGTAAGGAAAGCTGAGTACATGGCTTTTTCCTCACTGCCTGAGTCTGAATTTCATATATCTTCCAGTGCATAAATACTAAGTTTAGACCTTAAGTAGTGTAGATGGGCGACTTGCCGACTTTTATGACTTGGTTACCACGGATACTAAACAATTCTTGAAAGTTTCGACTTCATATTAGATAACAAGTATCCCTTTTTTCGAGCTCGCGCATGCGGATCCTTCTATGCCATCATCCCTGCAAGTTACGGTGGGGTAGTGTTCTTTTTGCCGGAGTGGAGCAATTATAGTTCGAAGCTTTAGAGAAAGACTTTGAATTTGTAGCACATTTGAAAGCTCGCATTATGCCTTTAAGCACAGCTTCGAATCTGCACCGAAAGTTCTATTATAGATGAAGCTTAGACTCAATCTGCCTATTCCATATGGCAGAGGTTAGGGAACCCTATGGTTCTCTTCTTTTCAATAAGAAGCCTGCTGTTCGTTCACCAAACGTATGTTATGCAAATAGCTTAGGAACCTTTTTCATCATCATATTTGGCAGTTTGTAACTGCTAAAACGATCTTCGATCTGCGAACTTCTCCTCTAATTTGTGATATGCGTCTTGTTGTTTTCCAACAAATGGAGGGATCTCCAATTTATTCTAAGCCACCTCCGAACGGCCGCTGAGTTTTTATGACGAGCTTTTTTATTTCATGTCAGAAATACACTCCAAGGGCTTAACATTGCCTGCCGCCGCAACCGCAATTACAGAAACTAATGTTCTACCATTTTCGGTCTTCGGGGTACTTGTACTATACACGGATTTAAGAGGAACCACAGCTTTGATTTCTTTGGAAAACAACTTTTTTAGTCATTCAAATTTCGTCGAGCTTCCTAATCATTGCGGAGATTATGCCACGAGCTACTCTTGTATTGTGCTATGCCGTTTTTATGTAGCTCACTTCAGGGTTTCACCAGATCGGCTTCCATCAGCTCTCTGCTTTGCATACTGGGCAGGAGAACTCAAAGATAACAATTACCCTGTGTCTTCAATACTTAAAGGTTTCTTGGGTGAGCTGATGATCTTTGAACCATGACTAGAACCCTGGCTTTCAGAATGCCAGTACGCAATGCAGCACCACTCGGAATGTGGAAGGTATTGATTAAGTAGTAGATCGGTATGTCGTGGTCTATTGTAGAATCTACTATAACTAACCTAACTTCCAGACTAAATTAACTTTTCAGCGAATTATAGTGACCACTTTAAAGCGAGATAAATTGGATTCCCACCCATGGTGTGTTCATGGGGACTACGCGCAGTGTATTTGTATTTACATTGCGATCCCCTACGTATGTTCCATTTGCCACACAACTCAACACCTGTTCGCCGACTTTGGATTTCTTCACATACATACATACATACTTCTTGTTCTGCTTTGCTTTTGTTTTTTTTTTCGATTTTTTAAAGCTCGGTAAATTTTTATTTTTTTTTTTTATTAATTTCGTGTTTCGTTTTTTGCCTGTCTGCGCACCTAGACAAACTGGCGTCTGTGTGTGATAAAGTTGTGGACTGTTGTTATTGTTATTGTTGTTGTTATTGTAGTCTTAGCAATAGCGAACGCACTAGTCGTCGTCCTAATTATTGGATCATTGGTGCGCATCGTTTCAGTCCAAGTGATTCTGCAACGAGTTCGCATTTATTATTGACTTATTTCTTGAATTGCTGTTGCACGTTGTTGTTCTTGCCTCATCATTTGCTATTCTCTGCATGTGCATGCCAGTTTTATGCCTTCGTTTAAGTTAAGTGAGTAACTTTCTATTTTTGTGGTGATTTTTCATGAGACCAAATATACTGGGTGATACAAATTAGTGCATAAAAGAATTGGTTGGCAAATACAGAGAGCTCTGGTTCCTAAGATGGAAGATTGGGTAAGATAACAAGTGAACTACTCTCGAGCTGAAGCTGAAAAAGTTTAAGCCGGGCAAGAGTGGAGATCAAGATGAGTGCGAAGAGTTGTTGGTTTGTTTGTTCCCCAAGAACGTAGGGATCTCCACCCATACTGCTTGCTCTCAGCTGTTTCCTTTCAGTTTCGAACCAAATGTAAAGATATTTTCCAACCTTTCTGCTCTCTTCTGGTGTCCTAGCTATGTATAGTCGAAAGTGAAGTATAGTGTTAAACAACGGCAGACCATATTATCTAGAGCTGAGCATGTGAGTGGAACCTATGCTCGTTGAAGCGAAGTGGTTCACAGTTTCCTCTTAAAAGAATCGCTCCGTTTTCGAACTGGCTTAAAGAATAGAAAGAAGCAAAGGAGAGCTCCGATATATGCGAATTGGAACTACGAGTATTTTTCATTGAATATCAAGTAATTGTAAGACCTGCTCTCTTCGTCTCTCTCTAGATTAAGTAAAATGGCGAAAGGAGCTCATTGACAACGTTCGAAGACACGATTACCCTAAAAAATAAGGAATCGACTACGTAAATACTCGATCTGTTTTAGTTGTTCACAATCACAACTCCACCGCTGGCGCCCATTTTCCGTCTTTTCTCGAATAATTCTTAGAGACATCATCTGATGGTGGATGAAGATAAGGGAAAATGATAGATAATTTGCAAGTTGCAATCGCCGGACTCTTCGGTACCAAACTACGCACCAAAAAAAATCGGATGTTTTGGAGGAATCCGAAAAAAATGAGTACCCGAGCAAAAGCGTACCAACCGAGCAGGCAATAATCATAAAAAAGCATTGAACGGAATCAAGTTAAAATATAAGCTCCAGTTTGTTGTGCTTAAACACTACGTGAGACCAAAATGAACTCACTCTTGGTGAAAAGAACTCTCCAGCGCTTCAAATTCTGACGGATGTTGAACCCTCGCTGAGCTAAACAGAAGAACAGAGCAGTGAAGGACGTTATAAGAGATCAGCCAAACCCACGCCTGCTTTCATACCCACTTAAGAGAATCAGTTTCTTACAAAGGCTTTTAAAAATAGTGATCAAAACATCAAGCTCTGTTCATCATTTCCATACCGCTGTGAGGTTCAGAAGACCGGACAATGTGAGTATCATAGAGTTCCTATTAAAAGTTTTCGAAAGAACGATCAAGAATATAATAGACTATGAAACGGTGCGTACTGTAC